CAATAAACAGACACCTCTTCTTACAAAAAAGTTACTTTGTCAAGGAAAACACCACAAAGAATAAACAAGGAATTTAGCTTTATTTTCTCTGTACATCTGCAAAACACTTGGGACCAACATAGAAAAAACAACTTCCTGTTTTAAAAAATTACACTTTAAAAAAAGGCCTATGGGCCCTGGCCGGTGTGGCTCAGTTGGTTGGGCATCGTCCCATGCACGGAAAGATTGCTGGCTATATTTTGGGTCAGGGCACATGCCCGAGTTGCCAGCTTATCCCCAGTAGGGGGCATGCAGGAGGCAGCCAATCAATGTTTTGCTCTCATATCAATGTTTCTCTCCCTCTATTACTCTCCCTTCCCTCTAAAAATCAGTAAAAAAAATCTTAAAAAAAAAAAAATGGGATCAAGGCCTTAACCCCAAGAAACTACAGCAACTCTGATTGGTCCAAGGAATTGAAAAGATATTGGGGAAATAAAACAAGAGGAAAGAGCATGAGAAATTACTGAGGGAGGGGGCCTCGAAGTGGGCCACGAGGGGGAACTGGAGGCCGGGGAGTGGGTCTGGGTGGAGGGAGGGGCCCCCTTTGGTAGCCATAGGGTGGGGGTCGTGGAGGGCCAGTGTATCCATGAGGGGGCATCAGTGGAGGAGGTCCACGCATACCATGGGGAGGCATAGGACCTGGGTGACCTGTAAGAAGAGAAAGAAAAGTTAGTAAAAGCAAGAAATAGGAGATAGCTGATGCTGGGAGAATGTAGGGAGAGAATAGACAGAGCAGGGGAAAAAGAGGTGTGACAAAGGAAGCCAAAAGAATATGATGTATGAGGAGGAGAAGGGAGGTGGCTAGAGCCTACTCACCCATGGGAGATCCAAACGGAGGCCCTCGGGGAGGCATGCCCATTGGAGGAGGTCCGGGATGAGGCATGCCAGGTGGTGGTCGTGGTGGGGGCTGCCCCCCAGATCCTGGGGGCCCAGCATGGGGGTGTCCTAAGCCATGAGGGCCATGGTGGGCCAGCTGCATCTGAGACATGCCTATGAGAACAGACACACAAGAGAAAGGGCAGATAAAATGGAGTGACATCAGGAAGAGAATGGAAAATAAGGCTGATTAAAAAGTGCACCTATCCTTGAACGCATTCCAACAGTACAAACCAACGAACTACCCAAGCAATTCCTCCCTCCTTCACTTGCTCTTCCCATGATTTAGGCACTGTAATGGTGCTGCAGAAGTACAGGACAAATGGAGCGAATTAGTCCGGCGGTCACCAACCTTTCGGTCCTCATGACCGCTGAATTATTCTATTGATAGAATTTGGAAAGGTCACAGAGATACTATCTGAGCAAAGATCTATTTCTAAAGGATGAATAAGAATTTTTCTGATGGACAGAGTAGGACTAGAACATCCAAGGCAGGAAAGATTAGAATCATAGGTGTTTTTTAGCAACAAAGTTCCAGGAGAACCAGTAATTTCGTTAACCAGGGGCCAGATCAAGAAAAGTCTAGAATGCTATGGCAATGAGTCTGGAATTTCTCTGTAGATAAAAGGAAACAACAGAATAATTTTTAGTAAGGATGTACAAACATGTGTTTTAGAAAAATAACTCTGTGAAACTATCAAAGGTAGAGAAAATTGGAGTCAAAGTGAGAGGAAGTTCCTACAATAAATTAGATGTGAAATAATGAGGATATGATGCCCTGACCAGTGTGGGCCAGTAATTAAATGTTCAGCACGTGCACCCAAAGGGCCGAGGTTTTGATTCCAGACAAGGGATGCATGTGGCCGGCAACCAACCAATGTTTGTCTCTCTCTCCTTCCTTCTCCCTCCTCTCTCCCTTCCACACTCTCTAAAAATCAATGGAAAAAATATCCTTGAGTGAGGATTAACAAAAGAAAAAAAGAAAGAATCCTATATAATAAACAGCTAATATGCTAATTAGACCAGACTGTAGAACGACCTTCCAGAACGAACAGTGGATGGGGCCAAGAGGCAGCCAGGGCTTCGAAGGCCTACTCTTGCACAAATTTTGTGCATCCAGCCTCTAGTAAAGGTATATGAGTCTGAAATTGGGCACTGGCAGTCATGGCAGATGCCAAAGACAGAATAGTCAAACAGCTCCAAGATTTCTGAATTAAGCACCTGAAAACAAAGAATACTAGAGGAAGAATAGGGTTGGAAGGGAAGGGTAGAAAAGTGGAGCTGTCCATTTAGCAGCAGGATTAGTGTCTAGAATGTTAATAATCATGAGTCAGAGATACAGATCAGGAGGCATCGGTGTGCAAGTACTGAAACTACACCGGTACAAACAGAGAAAAAAGAGTCTACTAATGTGGCTGAGATTGAGGAGACAGAAAGATAAACATCCAGAGAAACCAAGAGATAAGATTTTCAAACAAAAAGACATGGACAACTCATAGACACAGACAACAGTATGGTGATTACCAGAAGGAAAGGGGGGTGGAGGGAGGTAGAAATGGGTAAAGGGGAATAAATGGTGAGGGATGTATTACAGAATTGTACACTTGAAACCTATATAATTTTATTAACCAATGCTCCAATAAATTCAATAAAAATTTTTTTAAAAAGGCATGGCTAGTTTTGAGTAAGAACAAAGGTCCAACTAGATAAGGAGCAGAAGTGTCCCCTAGGTTTAGCAATTAGGTCACTGCTTTGGGGTAAAAGTCAGAGGAAGTATAAGTTAAGGAAACAGAAAACAGCAAGTATAGTTATACTCTTTAGAAAAACTTAAATGGAAACAGGGTGGTAGTTGTTAAAGTAAACAGAGTCAAGTATTTTGTGTTTCTTCTTATAAAATAATGTCTGAAAGTAAGTTCAGCTCTGGAACTATCTATTATTGTTAAAGGAAAAAGGGCAGAAATAAGTGGTGGTAGAGATCCTCTTTCAAGCTCATCCCTCCCTTTCCCAGCAAAGAACACCTACCTGGATGGGGCATCCCACCCGGTGGAAATGGGTGAGGATGTGAGTGTCCGTGTCCAGGATGTCCAGCCCCCGGGGTTCCTGCCGAAGGGGGCCCATGTCCTCCAGCCCCAGGGGGCATAGGTGGTGGGGGCATGGCTGGGGGAATCCCAGGTGGAAGGGCTCCAGGAGGCGGCACTGGGGGTGGGAAGGAGCCAGGAGGAGGCATGCCTATAGAGGAAATGGAAGAAGAATTAATGATAGTGAGGAGAGAATGTCTTTCGTGAGCCTGTTCCAGCGTGGCCTCTCCATATAGGATGAGCTCTTTTCTCCTCCTCCCAGCTTTCTCAAAAAAGCAGTGTTAGCCAATACAAACAACTTCAACTTCCTGGAGAAACAGCAACTTTTCTCCCCATCACAACCATCACACCTCAATCCTCCTCTCATCACCCAGTGACTCAATGTCCTCCTTTATTATTCTTTTTCCTTCTTCCTGCCCTACCCACCAAACCCAAAACAAACATATTTTGAATCAAAAACTTTACCTGGTGGAGGAAGCCCAGTTCCCAATGATGATACTACAGGATTGGGGGCAGAGGGTGGAGGTGGTGCATCTGCAAACAGCTGATGAGGGCGATCAGCCTGAGAGAGTGGGTTCTGGGCTGCCAGAAGTCGCTCGGCTGCTGAGCCATGACGTTCACCCTTGGAGTCCTTCTTGAAGGCATAGGACACAGTGATAGGGCGGTTGCAGAGGTACTGCCCATTCATAGCTTCAATCGCTGCGTCCGAAGCATCAAACGAAGCAAAATTAATAAAGGCATAACCTTTGGAGTTGCCTGTGTCAGGGTCCCGCATGATCTTGGGCGTTTGCAAAATGACCCCAAAGGCGCTGAAAGTGTCATAAAGCAACTTCTCATCAATCTCTGGGTCCAGGTTCCCAATGAAAATGTTGGCCCCCACATCCAGGTTTTTGTTGTGAGCTGATGCTTTGTTCACCCGGATTGGCTTCCCATAGAGTTTGATCATGTTCATGATCTTAATGGCATAGTCAGCATCTTCCTCGCTCAAGAATTCCACGAAGCCATAGCCTGGAGGAGTGCAAGGGAGGAGGTTAGCTTAAGCGAAGTGGTGCAAAACGGGGTACACCTCATCCACCTTCGAAAGCACCAAAAATAAGAAAGAATAACCTCACTTCCATGGTGAACGGTCCCAGAAACAAACTCTGCACAGACTTAAGAGACAGAAATGCTGAGGTTGCTTATTGCAAAGCTGCCGCGAATACTGCCGGGATTCTCAAAGAGCAGCGTGTCCCCTCAGTGCAGCAGCGCACGGACTCACCTTGGTGCTGACCAGTGACCCTGTCCTTGGGCATGTGGGTGTTAACGACCGGCCCGGCCTGGAGAAACAGCTCCCACAGCAGCGGTTCGCTAACCTTCTCGTCCAGGCCCCCCACGTACACGGTGGCATCTGGACGACGGGAGAAGGGGGTTAGGGCCGGGAGGAATGGACAGGAAAGGGGACGACAGGTACATGAAGGTGAAAACCAAGCGGGGTAAGTGGGGGGTGGAGACAGGATATAGGAGCAAAAAGAAAACAACAACAAAAAAAACCCGTTAGATGAAGCCCATACACCTCCCTAAGCTCATACACCTCCCTTTCTACAGGAACAACAGAATCTTCTTACGCCTGCAAATTCTCTTTACAACTTTCTTATCAGCGGGAAGGCAGAAGATTGAGCATAGAAAGCATCGCGCCTACAGGCCTTGGCCCGAACCCGGCCTCCCGCCGCCCCCAGTGGGCACCGGGCCGGTCTCGCGCCCCCGGGGAAGCCCAGACTCCCGCCCCGACGGAAACACTGGTGGCCACGGTCCAGCCTCCCGGCCCCCGAAGCCCATTCCTGGCTCGTTCCCCCGAGTCACCCTGGTTCCGCTCGGAGATCGGCCCGGCCGCCATGGCGAAAAAGCTCGCGCCGTCTCCAGGCAGCGACTCCGCCCCCCGACCTCAGTCACTACTTCCACTTCCGGGGCGAAGGCGGACGTAGGGGGGCGGGCGGGCCGCGGCGGTGGGCGGAGCCGGAAGCGGCCGCGGCCATCTCAGGGCCCGCCGTTCCCAGGTGCGGCGCGGGTGCCCGCGAGCGCTCCGGGCGAGGAAGGGAGGACGGGGACCCAGACCCTCCCAAGGCTGATGAGACGTTGCAGGACCACGCTGTTTCCCAAATGTAAACTTGAAAACGAAGGGAACGAAACTTTTCATAGATTTTGTTCCTCAGAGAAGGGTGTGCTGAGGAACCCCCTCACCCAAGGACAGCGCGGGGGCAGCCCTCTCCCCGCCCCGCAGCGCCAGCCTGGGCTCGGTTAGTTTTTTGTCTCCTTCAAGGGAGGGATTGCAGTGTCGCCGCTGAAGTGACGTCTCGGCTCACGTCGCGGTTATTACCGAGGGGTTCCGGGGAACCCGAGGCTTACAGATGAAGTGTGACCGAAGCTGAGGGGTGGTTGACATTAAAACCCAGAGGTTCAACCTCCAGAACATCCCTGGCCCCAGCAACCGCTTCTTGGTATGCTTTGCACCACCTGTTCCTCAGTGGGAGGCACGGAAAAGGACACTTCCCAAATTGCACGTGCAGTTTGCAGAGCCTCCCCGACCCATCCCTTATTTCCTTATCAATAATTTGCGTGGTGAGTGCCATTCTCTCTTGGGTCACACCCACCCTACACCTACCCCACTCACCTAGGATCCTTTATTCGGACACGAGAAACAGTGCCAGCAACAAGTATAAATACTGTGCTTTAATGAGCCCCTTACATAGAAATTCACTACAAAAATAGACAATTGGAAGAGACAGGGTGTCTCCCATATCCACTCCATATCCATAGGAAGCTCTAAGCTCCCCTTAGAGTCTAAGGGGAGAAGTAGGAATTGGAATTAAAGAAGCAGCAAAAGGAGGTGAAAATGAAGCCTGAACTCAAAATTAACAGTTGGATATCCAAAAGGGATGAAATTTCCCTGAAAAAAAAACAAACCAAAAACAGGTGATCATATTTTGGACTGTTTTTGTTTCTTAATTGTTCAAATCACAAGACACTGTATACACTCTTGAGGAACTAAACAGGACAGAGCAAGAGTTGTAGGTAGCACCACCCCTCTGCAATGGAAAATCAAGTCAGGGGTCTTGTTTGAGGGCTGGAATGAGAAAGCTGAGGCGGCAAGTCCCGATGAGGAAAACCGGAAGGGTTAGAACCCTCTCTCACCCCAGGCGCCCCTTTGCCCTGCCCACGAGAAAGCCAGCCATGTCAACAGGACTGGGAGAGAATGGGATTTGGATCTCTTTTCTGGGAGCGGTCCTCGGGAGATGTTCTTGGAGTCCATTTCTCTATTAGCTCCTGAAGACGGGATAGCTCATCCTGGAGGCCCGTGATGGTGGGAGCTGAGAGGCCCCTCTGGGAAGGGAGTGGGGAGAAGTAGAGGAACAGTATCAGTGCAGCTCTAGCTCTCTGTTTCTGAAATCTGTCCACTACTTCTGGCATCTTTAATTCTCTTCCCCCTCCAACTGTGCCCTAGGTTCCACTTAGTCTGAGCCACTAGCAGTTTTCCCCATCCACCCATACTCCCACACCACTCCACTTCCCAGTTTCCCCAGCCCCTTGCTGTTCCTGATCCTGGGAATATCTGGTTCCTCCTGAAACATCTTATTTCTCCTAGGGCATCTGGCTCAGCAGTCAAACCCTTCTCCTACTCCCCATCCCTGTCTTCTCACCTGGACCTCAGGCCTTCCCCTTAGGTAGCAGCGTCTCCAGAGCCTGATCTGGGGTCCCAAGTACCCAGGAAGCAGCAGCCCTGCGGGTAAAGGGCAAGCTCCCCAATGTGAGGGGAGCCCCCACTCTTGATCAGCTAGACTTTCCGAAGATATAGCAGGTCGAGGGAGCCAGCGTGAAGAGACTGTCAGCAGGCAAGGGCTGTCCCGCCAAGGACAGAGCTGATTCAGGGCAGTCAGAGCCCCTCTAGAGAAGAGCCACACAGAACTGGGAGGTCCACGAACCATGAAGCTTGGCTAAAGGAGAAAGGAAAATCAACTGGTGACCTAGAAACCAGATGAACCCAGTTTTCCCAAATTGGGTCAGGAAGGAATGTCCAGCTACTACTCACTGCACTGGTGGTGCAACTACAAGCCTCCACTGAGAACTCTCTTTTTTCTCTTCATTAGGTTTCAAAATAGGCCTCAGGACTGATTAAAGTTGATTTTAGGGAAACTTGTAAAATGTATGCGTGAGACAGAAGATGAGGACCAAAAGGATGCCCACTGCTATTCTAGGATCTCTGTCTTCCTGGGGACAGTCAGGAACAATAAGTGACAGTTGTTGTAGAAGAGGAGTAAGGTAGCTTTCCCTGGGGAGCTTAGACACTGTATCTTTCCACTTCTCCCCCCCCCACCCCCCCCATCTAGTAGGATGAGCCTGTGAGAAAGTCAAGGAAATTTAGGGAGTTCAGACACCTACCTGCTGTCTAGGGAGCCAGGAATCTTGGCAGTGTTCCGGGTCATAGCCAGGATTATGGAATTGTAGTATCTGTTCATTGCTGTAGCGTAAATCCCAGTCCCAGACAGATAGCTGTGAGTTAATAGAGTTACCAGCGGGGGGGTGGGAGTACCCTGGGGTATAGACTTGTGTATAGGAGTTGAACTGTACAGAGGAAAACAAGAAAAAAAGATGGTTAAACAAAGGAAAAAAATCTATAGATATAAAAGCCTAAGCAATTGTTCGACCATTCAACCAGTAGCTATGATGCACACTGACCACCAGGGGGCAGACGCTCGGCACACAGGCATGGAAACCTGGAACAGACTGCTGAATCTCAGAGGGAAGGGGAAATGGAGGGCGGGAAGAGATTAACCAAAGATCTTATATGCAAACTAGAGGCCTGGTGCATGGATTCATGCACCAGTGGGGTCCCTCAGCCTGGCCTATGCCCTCTTGCAATCCAGGACCCCTCGGGGGATGTCGGACTACAGGTTTTGGCCTGATCCCCACAGGCCAGGCCGAGAGACCCCGCTGGTGCACGAATCTGCACCGGGATGGATGGATAGATATATAGATAGATAGATATTCCTTCTCACAGGTCTAGAGAGAAATTGTGAAAAGCTGCTCATCTCTTACTCCAGGAATCATATGTAGGGTGAAAATCCAGTCTTGAGAGAGAGCACCAACCTCCCCCTTTCTCACCCATAGACCTCACTTTTCATAAACAAAACTAAACTTCAGAAAGTACTCCTCAATGAGGGTGGGGTAATGTAGAAGACAAGAGAAAAATGAAAGTCACTGACCTGTCCACTCTGCTTTCCACGCTCCCAGGGATTGTCTCTCAAGAATGTAAGTGTGTCAGGAACCCTGACACTGTCATGAAGAGCAAGAAGGAAAAACTCAGAGAATTCAAACTCAGCTGGAAACTGCTGGAGGAGCTGCCAGACGCAATCAAGGAAGAGGAGAAACACTGGGGCCTGAAAAAAGGTAAATTAAGAGGATGGAATGGACTATAGGAATCTAAAAGGGGAGGATGACAAATGAGAGGGACACAGGGAACAGGGGCCACTATGGAGATCAGGAAATGGAGATCTGAATTGAGCATGATAGGAAGTGTGGTCCCTCACTCATCTGGGTTCTCCCTTCAAACTCAGCCTAACCTCAGTACCCTTCAGACCTTATTCACCTCCAGTGGATTATACTATATAATTTTCTGATCCTCTTTTTAAGTAATACTGGCCCCCATCCCAATACCCTCCCAAAATGCTCTCACCTTTTCACTGACCCCAGTTACCCCAAGTCGGGTCAGGAAGGGATGTCCAGCTGCCACCCACTCTCGCTGCACTAGTGATTGGAAGCCAAGCAGCGTTCGGGCTTCAGGGGCTGAAAGCAGCTGGACGAGTGAAGAGAGGAGGCCATTGAAATCACGATCACCTCGCTCTGGTGATAAAGAGGGAGAAGGGACAAAGAAGAAGGGGCCAAGAAACTAGGGCAGAAGAGAATGAGAAAAGAAAACATGGCAAGAAGTGTGGTGAAGCACAGAGGGGAAAAGTTTTGGGTAGGTAGAATTGAGAGGGCACATAGAAGTAAAGAAAAAACAAAGACCTTGAATGATTCACTTCATAGACTCCATCTGGATAGAAATACCCAACCTCACATGTAGGGGGCAGCATTATAAATCTCAAATCAGCTTCCACATTGTCCTTCCCATCCCAACCCCAATCCCCATCTATATTGGAAGAATAGGAACTGAGGGCAGAGAATCCTCTTGTTAGGACCACAAGCTGTGGTGGGGAGGCGGAGGTAGCACTAAAGGATGAGTTAGAGCTCATAGGTAGTTCCTAGTAAAGGGAGAAGAGGATGCTAGCACTAGAAGGGGACAAGCTTTATAACAGGTGGGGAATGTCTGGCCTGTGGGCCGTATACTAGTAAGGTCCATGAAATCATTTGGTCTGGCCCTGCCAAGGCATTAGGGGTGGGTTAATTAAATGTTTGAACAAATATAGCAGGCTAATTTTTAGGTTGATAATTTTCTATGGCCTGCAAATAACGTTTGCACAATCCAGTTAGGTGGGTAAAGGAAAAACTCAAGTAATGGAGTGAGTTGACCCAAGAAACTCACCTTGAAGGACTACAGAGCGAACTCTAGATGTCACTAAGACTGAGATGTCACTGGCCTTTCGAAGGCAAGACCTGGAGGTGAGGAAGAGGAGGGAAGAATAAGCCTGGAAAAGAGGAGTGAGGGGTCATGGGACAGAATAGAGGCCAACTCCAAAATCCTGCCTTCTCCTTCTAAGGAGCATGAAATAACAGCCTTCTTGGGAAACCAAGGAGAAAAATTAATGGAAGGCCACTTAGGAATCTAAGTTAATGGAAGTTTGGGGAGGGTTGAATTATAAGTCATTTTTAGAAAAAGAGGGAGTACCTGACATAGTCCAACCATCGTGTTCCTTCCAGGGCTGAGAGCCATTTATCCTCAGATACAGATGAATCTGATGGATAGTAGAGGGATCAGAAGGGCAAAGAGATCAGAACTCGGGATTCAGGATTCAGGGTCTATAGCCTGAAGGGTTAAGAATAAGTTGGGTAGTGTTGCCTTGGGCTGGGGATAGGAATGAAAAGTAACTAATGGCCATGAGGTTTCAAAAGTTAAATTGTGGTAATGTTTGTACAGAGTTTATTGAACTGTATACTTATGGGTGAAGGATGATTTTTTTAAAATATATTTTTATTGATTTCATAGATGAAGGGAGAGGGAGAGAGAGATAAAAACATCAATGATGAGAGAGAATCATTGGCCGGCTGCCTCCTGCACGCCCCCTCCTGGGGATCCAGCCACAACCCAGGCATATGTTCTTGACCAGAATCGAACCTGGGACCTTTTAGTCTGCAGGCTGACGCTCTATCCACTGAGCCAAACCGGTTAGGGCAAGGATGATTTTTATACTATGTAGATTATATCCCAATAAAGCTGTTAACAAAAAGACTATGTTGGGGTCTGGAAGATAGGAAATTAGTATGTGGGAGATGGGAGAGTTGAGTAGAAAACTAAGGCTCATTGGGCTGAAAGGTTGGTTGCTCGTCTGTAGCAGGCAAATGGAAAGCCAGGTTAGGGTCAGCAGACCTACAAGTGCGGTAAGGGGTTAAAGGTTATTCTCACCAGGCAGACAGAGGGCCCTCAGCCTCAAATGGGCAAGCTGGACATCTGCAAGACTAGGCAGCTCATCCATAGTATCGACCAGGACAACGTCAGAATGCCCAGCCTGGAGCATAGACTCCACTGATCTGGAGGAGAGAGTCAGAAAGTAAGGGAAGGCATCTGCTCAGAACACCTAACCTTTAATTCTCATCAAACTTCCCTCACCTGATGTCCTCCTTGTTAGGGTCACTGGCTGTGTAGAACCCTCCACAGCGGAGAAGATCACTACCCCCAGGGTGATGCCAGGACAGGCGCTTCAAATGGGTGAGAGGAGAATCACTGTGGGAGGAACTCCTAGCCTCACCCTGCCCTTGCCCCCACACTGACCTCACAGGGACCCCCTCCCTTCACAATGACCCCTGACCTCCCATAACCCTCTAATCCCCACCCTCACACTGACCGGTCCACGGCCCTGATGAAAGTGGCCAAATGCTCTCCTGACCTCACTGTCCAGAGTTCGGTTAGGGACCCAGAAGTAACGGGGGAGGCTGTGAAATTGAGAGTAATGTCACATCTTGGCTCAGTGACCTCATAACGCAAACCTGTGATTACAAGGGAGGTGCTTAGGAGGTGATCATTCCAAGTGATCTCAGATTTAGAGACCCAGGAGGTAAGGGGGATAGCTTTGTGGTTGTCCTAGGAAGCTGGAGTGTGTGGGAAGCATAGCTTAAGAGTCAGAGAACTGTGGGACGATAAGGAAGGCTACAGCAGTTGGGGTGGACTGGGGGATCACCTGGTGGCTACGTCGAATCTCTCATTGACAAGACTAACCCGCCAGCCATTGGCCCCCTGCTTTTTCCTCTCAGTCTCCCAGTCTTCTGGAGTCTCCAAGAGGGGAATAGGTGATTTTCTGGAGCCAGAACTCTGGCCTAGGGCAGGAGTGAGGCACAGAAGAGAAAGAGGACAGCTGCTCAGCTCTTTTTGTCTTCAACCAGCCTCTGATTTTTCAGACTCTATCTTTTCCTTATCCCAAAGCACCCTCACTCACCAGCCTTGCTCAGGGTTATCCCTGAATACTGTTGGGTTTGACTGCTCTGAGCTCTGGCTTGGACAATGGCCATGGTCACCTGTGGAGGAAAGTACATCATCCTTTTGGCTCAGACTGAAGTGAAAAGGAAATGGGGTGTGTTGCTTCACTGTCTTTGCCACCAACAGAGAAGAACAGTGAACACAATCCCTAAGGAAGGGGGCTTCTACAGGTCTTGGGGCCTGGGGTCAAGAGAGTACATCTAGAACCACAGAATCACAGAATGTTAATTCTGGAAGATATTAGGAATCATCTCCTCCAACCCTCCCTATTTTTCAAAGGAAGACACTTGCCCACAGTCATTCATACTCCTGATAATTGGCAGAGGCAGGCTAGAATTCAGGCCCTGTATTTTCATTATACTATCATTTATCCCAGCCACTCCTTGAGGAAAGAGGCAGAGCGAATGATGAGAGGGATCCTGGGAAATAAGGGAGTACTGGGAATTGCCAGGGAAAGGATCCCAAGGTTCTCAAAGAAGGAAGGGGTCTTAGGTTGGGAGCCTCTTACCTGAAAGGCCTGAGGCTCTAGTCCTCCAGCCTCAAAACCAACTCTGAGCAGCCGGAAGTCTCGGCCGTGAATCAGGATCTCCTCAGGGATAAATTTAAGCAGGGACCCTGGACGGTGGAGTTGGACTCGAGACAGGCTACTCACTGAAGTAAAAAATTAGAGAGCAGTGTAGCCATGGATCAGGGTCCCTCTAGGACAGCGGTTCTCAACCTGTGGGTCGCGACCCCTTTGGCGGTCGAACGACCCTTTCACAGGAGTCGCCTAAGGCCATCCTGCATATCAGATATTTACATTACGATTCATAACAGTAGCAACATTACAGTTATGAAGTAGCAACGAAAATAAATTTATGGTTGGGTCACAACATGAGGAACTGTATTTAAAGGGCCAGAAGGTTGAGAACCACTGCTCTAGGAGGAACTCTTCCTGCCCATCCCACTGCATCTCTGGCTGTCCTCTAAGAATAGAGGAAGGATTGAGGAGGGTAGCCAACACCCCCAGTAAGCCCCTTTACCAGCCCCCCACACTTACCAGCCTCTAATTGCCCAATGTTGACCAGGGCAAAATCATAATCACTGCTTAGGGGAGTCTCCTAGAGGAAGCACATGACATGCTAAAGACATCTGAAATCTCACATACTATCTCGGTAGCCCCTCACCTTTCTAGATGAGATCCCATTGATTATCCCTGATACATTCCAAAGAGAGCCTTTAAGAGTAACTCTCTAGGTGGGATTGCTTAATAGTTAGGACACCAACCCATACACTAAAGGGTCTCAGGGTTCGATTCCCAGTCAAGGCACATTTACCTGGGTTGCAGGTTCAATCCCCACCCTGGTCAGGGCACATGTAGAAACAACCAATCGCTGTCTGACTGTGTCAGTCTCTGTCTGTTTTCTCTCTCTTGCTTTCTCTATCTCTATCCCTGCCCCCCTTTCTCTCAATCTCTCTCTCCTTCCCTCCCTTCCACTTTCTCTAAAAATCAATGCAAAAAATATCCTCAGATGAGGATTAACAACAACAAAATTTTCACAAAAAAAAGAATAACCCTCACACTTCCTGTAATGGTTGTCTAAATCCTTCTAGAGACTCTGCTACCTATTCCCTCTAGCTGTCATTTTCATTGGCCTAACCATCTCACCTGACGCCGCTGCCATCCACAGGGTTGGAAGGTGACCCTCAAGTTGGTGCAGATCAGGGTTCCAGGCAATTCAGGTTCCAGCCCCTTCCGCACCCCTGGGGCCCATGCTAGGATCTGCTCCCCTACAGGAGAAGCCAGGTTATGACCATTCCAGTGTTGCCCACATGTGTACACCCACTCCTCTGAGACAGGAGGATCTAAAGAGGAAAGATTAAGATCCTCCTCTAACTCCTAAGAATGAAAGGTTATGAGGAGAGAATTTGTAATCTTTTACTCTAGCCTGGCACATAGTACACTTAAATATTTATTGAATAAGTAAATGAGAAAAGGGGTAACAGGGTCAAGAAAACAGAGAGATCACCAAGGTCCAAGCTCCCAGACAGTTCTGTTCAGAGAAGAGAACAAGCCTCAAGCAGAAGCAGCACTTTGAGCCAGGAAAGGAATATGAAGGTATCTTTAGTGAAGGTAGGAAACAGGATTTAAGCAGGATGAAATTTGAAGTCGTTTCTGATGATCAGAAATACTGGAAGGACATTATTACCTGGGAGGCATCCAGAGGCCAGGCAACTGCCAAGTTGAGGACTCCTGGGCTCTGGCATCCCACTCCCCTGGATAGACTGTGGTCCAGAGAGCTGTGAAGGGTGTAGCGTTATTCCCCCGGCCTCTCCAACCCTGGGGTCTGGGGCTAACTCAGCAGCCACCTTTGGAGGCCTACACTCAGACTCGGGGAAACTGAGATCAGTGGCTGTGGGGAGCTCAGGGCCTGGGTTGGCAGACAGTGAAGGGAGGGGCTGGTTAATGGGTAATGAGACGATGAACTTGAGACTGAAAAAGACAGACCAAGCTCCATCAGCCAGAGAATATGAGACACACCCTCCTCCTGCTCTAGATCCTTTTCTTCTATTTCCACATCCTCCCTACTCACACCCTCTGACCGACCAACCCCTCCCCACAAGCCCAACTCTCCTTACCCCCATCTCTGGCTCCTCCTTCTGGGGGGCGATGTTGAAACTCTGGCCCCGGCCCCCCCACCACATTTCTCCCGCTCCATCCGGGGACGGAGCAGTTAAAGGTGGGAAACTTCAAGGATGCTCAAGCCCCTTGGGGAGAGGCTGGATCTTGTAGCTGAGAGGAAGGGAAGTCAGGGATGGGATCCAGGCAAGGGAACAGTCAGGGCAAAGGAACATTTGAGGTGCATGGAGCACGATTTGGGGTCTTTGAAAGCTGTGTCCAGCTAGAGGAGGCTCCTCGGAAACTTCAGTCGACTCGGGAGAGGGCGGGAGAGATGCCCAGCCCCTTAAAGGAGCATACACACAATTTTAGGAAAGTGGAGAGGAAGTGGAGGCTCCTGGGAAGGGTGAGGAATCAATGGGGAACTGGGGGGAAATACCCAGATTCCCTCCTTTACTCTTACTCCCAACTCCTATTCACTTCCTGTTCGTGAGAATTGGAGATTGTTTGAGGGGAGCAGTAATACCGAATATTAAACTAGAACAATTTGGGCCACTTCTCTAGACTCTGAGTGATGGCTTCCCTGGGAAGCTGTTTTTTTATATCTTAAAAGGGGCAAGGGTGGAGGAAGGGGAACATAAAAGTAGTTAAGTAAGGCCTTCTTACAGCCTCTCCTGACAGACCTACCAAAAGGAATTGAGAAATGGAAATTGGACCACAGGGTAGTTTTGCCTGGGGAGACCCAAGAATTGGGGAGGGGGATGAGTTAGTGTTTTTGTCCATCCTTCCCCAGAGAGCATGAAACATACCTGTATGCACGGTGCAGCGGAAAAGGGGAGAAACGGAAATCTCTCCACGATGCAGACACAAGTACAGGTATGTTTATGTGCACGTTCTGGGGTGGGGGTGGGAGGCCCAAGGAAAAGATCTCACCAACGTTATCCATCAAACACACACATGCACACATGCCCGCACACACACACCACCCCAACCAATTAGAAACTGGAGCCCACCCCAGGTACATGACCCCTCCCTCCAATCCAGACACCAGATCTCCAAATTAATAATTCATGTCCAGGATTCTGAAAGCTGAGGGCTGGAAACCTCTGTTCAGTTCAACAATCCCATTCCTCCTCCCTACCCACTTGCAACCCAAGAAGTAAAGGTGGGGGAAGGGCACTGGAAGAAAGTAAAGGAACTGCAGGACTGCAGATGAGGGGGACTAGGGTATGAATGCGACATCTATATTTAGATATGAAAAAGACAGGAAATAAAATACAAAGAGTTAATGAGCTGCTGTTTTATTGATTTTGAGTCTGTACAGAGGCAGCAATCCATAGGCGGGGGCCCAGTGTCACTTTATTCTCTCCAACCCCCAGCACACACACCCTTCCGGCCTCAGCTTTACAAGTTCCCTGTCTGGCTGCAACTATGGAAAGAGTGAAAATACATATTGTGAGACAGGGTGTCAATCTGGAACAAAGAGGAATACCTGATTCTCAAGGTCCTCAAAGCTACTGAGCATCCCCACCCCCACCTGCATTCCATGGGTTTCAATCTCAGGGGAAGAAAATACTTCCCAAGGTCTGTTGCAATAAGAGGTGTGTACCACAATTTTAAAATATTATCCACTTTCCTTCTCCCGCCACCTTTCATTCAAGAGCCTCATTCTATTCTTTAATACTTTGAGGTAAGGAACAGCAGAGGAATACAGAGAAAAATATCAGATTGGGGGAAAGTTGGGGGTGGGGGGAAGGTGACTTGGATTAGTCCCCAACCAGGAATGCAATGAGGGCAGCAGATGAGGGGTAATTAACCGCAGAACCACCTCTCACCACCCCACACACTCCCAGTGGAGGCTCAGTGGACGAAAGGAAGGGTGGAACTATCAGATTTTTCCATTTTCAGAATCCTGATCTGGTTGTAGGTTTGTGCTACGAATGAAGGCTGCCAGAAGGGGCAGCTGAAGGAGGAGCTGAGTGACTCATAAGATGAGTCACAGATCCAGTTATAAACACAGAAAGAGGCCTTAGTCCTTCCCACCCCCACTTCAGTCAGTTCTGCTACTCGCAGGCAGCTTCCCTCTCTTCTAAAGCCCCTTACTCACCAGGTGGAGGAAGGTGCCATGGAGTGTCTACACAGGAGACTTCATAATATTTTGTTAATTAACTTAAGTACATGGAGCAAAACACCCTGTGATTTGTAGACTGGGTATCTACAAAGTGAGACAGAGTGCTTGTATGACTCACTGAATCTACAGTTAAAGGGCCTGGAGGGAAAAAGAAACTAGAAAAATCTACGGTGCAGATGATTCCAGGCCAGGAAGGGGCTTCTAATTCTGTCTTCTCACCTGTGGCTATGTGTCTGGGGCACTGACTCTTGGAGAAATAAGAGGACAGAGTCCAAGGTGTCCAAGTAACTCAGGGACAATCATTTCTGAAGCTCCTTTATTGGTAAAGAAAAAAATGTGACCAGAACCTCGGACAAGTGGCTGTTTAGAAAGGAATAAGAATGGGAAAAGCTAGGTTCTCAAGTCATTCAGAACCAGCCCCACTCTTTTTGGCTCAGTATCCCCTCCCAAATATACAATACAAAGTCATTGCTAATTTTTGTTTTATTGGTCTGTGAGCTGTAGTTTTGCCTGAGAAGAAATTGCAAGAGGGAGGGTACTTCTCTCCAGGCCTGTACAGCACTGTTTAACACCATCCCCACTCCAGAATGAGATTGAATTTCTTAAAATTTATATATATTTTTATATATAATCTTTTCATTTTGATAGAATCCAGTATGTGGGGAAAACTTTTGGTTAAATCTTGTAACCCTCAGTAAAACCAGCATAGATTGAGAAGATTTTGGAGGCTTATCTTATAGTATACTTGTTCCATCAGGGCTGGAGTGTATTAGGGTGGAGGGGTAGCACTATCTTAAATCAAAAGGGGAAAATCTCCCCTTTCCAATAAAAAACTTCAATAGGTACCCCAACACCCTGAATTAAAGGAACTAAGTGCACTTATTTAAGAATGAGGGACAGCATCCCTCAGCTAGGGTTATAGGGGTCTGCTTACCCCCTTCACCCACAGACCTCTCCTTAACTAAGGAATTTTTGCTCAGTTTGAGTGCACATCATGTACCACTCTCTTCCCTTCTCCCAAAACAGTAATTGCATGGGCTTGCCTCTTCCACCCCCTCATCTTCCCAAAATACCATAAACCAACCCAAGTTCATTTCCTAGGCATTATTCCCTCACTCCCCCACCCCACACAATTCCCTCAAAGAATAAAGCAAAACAAACCCTACTCATCCCAATAGAAAAACATCCATTGACTCAGGGTCCCTCATCCTTACAACGGAGAGGTTTATTTAATGCTTCAATAAATAATTACCTACCCAAATTAAGAAAAATATTTCTTAATAAATAAAACTATAGGGCTGCGCTGGCCAGTGTTGCTCATTGGTTAGAGTGCTGGCCTGCTCTCGGAAGGGTCTCAGGTTCAATTCCTGATTCCCGGTCTAGGACATGTACCTGGGTTGCAGGTACGATCCTGTGGCAGGAGGCAACCAATTGATGTGTCTCTCAAAACATCGATATTTCCACTCTCTAAAAATCAACTAAAAAAATATACTCAGGTGAGGATTAACAACAAAAAAGCTATAAGGCCTACATAAAGCCCTCTTTTACCAAACTGACCCCTAGCCTCCCCTCCCCCCGAATTTCCATCATTTTTATTGAAAAGAAGTCAGAAGAAATTGGTATTGGTTAATTTATAAATCAAAAGAAAAACAAACGACATAAGGTTTCCATTTTTGTTCATTTGTCCTCTGTTTTTAAAAACAAAAAGTATTACCTAGAACTAGTAACAGAACAAATCCAAACACAGCAGTCCAGTGGAGAATCAAAACTTTCCTGGTTTTATTCTCTAGGGAAATCTCTGGTCTGTTTCCACTCCTATTGGTCTAGGCCAGAATCCTATGATATAGATCAGTGGTTCTCAACCTTCTGGCCCTTTAAATACAGTTCCTCATGTGACCCGACCATAAAATTATTTTCATTGCTACTTCATAACTGTAATGTTGCTACTGTTATGAATCGTAATGTAAATATCTGATATGCAGGATGGTCTTAGGCGACCCACAGGTTGAGAACCGCTGATATAGACGGACGCCTATGAGAAAGCTAAGTGAGTCGTGCAAATTCAAGGTGTGAGTTTGAGCCACCTGTTGTTCGGGTGCATGTTAGGGAATGGAAGCCCATGAGGTGGCAGTCTCACTAGTATTGTTCTAACTCCAGAAACAGGGTGAGGTGAGCAAGGCACTCATTTGGGGCACAAAATTTAAGTGGTGCCCCAAAACCCAGTAACCAAGATACTATTTTAATGCAGTATTTTTTGGAAATCAAAACTAATGTAAAAAAACACCACCACAATGAACAAATTATCAGTTTTAAATAAAGACAGGATTCAACCCTATACTTGCTCATTTCAGTCTTATTTCCCTCACTCTTGATCCCAGTCCTGTTGAATCCGGTCTTTAAGATTGACATTTTGTTCATTATGGATTTTTTCGCATTGATTTTTTAAAAATGCTGCATTAAAACATTATCTTGATTATTGAGTTTTTCAGTACCCTCTTCAGTTTTGTGCCTGAGAAGAGTGCTTGTCTCATACTATTCCCAGCCCTGCCCTGAATATACTGGTATACATACCCTCTTTGGAATCTAACTCCTTTGACTTCATTGCTTCCTTAAAACAGGTCTATTTTCAAATAAAAACTTGAGAATTCATAGCCATAGGAAATGGTGAAATCAACAGTATCAGATTTGGGAAATAAGTGACTTTCAAGTTTGAGGAAGAAATCTTTCTAAAATGTGAGCAGATCCAATAAAGAGGACAGTCTTGGTGTTTTTGTTACCAAGGGGGAAACAGCAAGACAACTTTCCTGATTGGGTAGAAACAACATATGGCATACACGAGGGGCCCCCGCCAACCCCCGCCGCCCGCCCCCCCTTACACCCAGGCGGCGTCTGCCTCAGAGCAAACGTGGGGATCACATTCCATGGGGTGGGTTATGAGTACATACTTCCAAAGAGAAATCCAAATACAGAAAAATAGCCCCAGTTAACACCTGGACACTTAAGTACACTTATTCCCCTTCTTTGTATGTACCCAGGAGTGTATACAATTGCATAGTTGAAGTTTTCCCAGAAAAAGAAAAGGAAAAGGAAAATTGGCCTAGGTTAGGTCCTCTGGTTTAAAGCTCTTAAAAATGGTGCTGGCCAGGGCGTAGGCTGTCCAGACTTGTGCTTTGTGCAAAATGCAAAGGAGCTCCTCACACTGTCCACGGGCCCACTCCCACCCCCTGGGGAAAGGGTAGGCTCAGGGAAAGGAGGACTCCAAAGACAGATCATCTCATCGGGAGTAATCTGTGATCTGTGGTTACAGTTCACTAAAATAGATTTCTCTAACTTTTTATAAATTGCTCCAGCCTATACCCCATGTTTCAACTTCAGTCCAATTATAAAAAATATCTCTTCTTACAAAGTATTTTATTTTAATAAACTAACCACAGATTAAGGTCAGCTATGGCTTAACAAAAGAAGCCGGGATGTTAAGTTCATTCTCCAAAAACAGAGAGGAAGGAGAAAGAATCACTTAAATAGGAAAAAATTTGTTTTTAAAAAATGTTTTTGCTTGCTGGGGTCTTTTGTTTCTTTTCCTTAAAAAAAAGAAAAATAAGTTGCTTTCTACAGAAATGCAGCAGCAGAGGATGGTAGTGCTCTATTTAGGTTTTTGGTTTTGTTTGAAACAGTCTGGCCAAAGGTCTATCCTTCTCCCACCCCTCCCAAGGCACACTCAAACCCCAATATATAGTTATTGCTAAGTAGTTAAAAAAAGATCACCTCTGTACCAGTTCACCTGGAGAAAATTCAACACACACAGCTGCTCTTCTCATCACTCTCTTCCCTTCCCCAGAGGGAACTTTTAAAAAAAATAAAATTAAAGTCTTTTTTAAAAAGATCACAACCTTAATTTAGCTGAGTTCAGCCCTCAAAAAGGATGAGGAAAAGATAGGGGGCAATCAACAATCTCCTCAAACTAGAACAGATGACAGATGGTGTTTAGAGGGAAATAAAACTTAAGAGGAAAAGGCTTCCCCTTTTAAGTTCGTTCCTTCTCCATCTCAACAAACCCATTTAAACTACCTCCCTCCTAATAGGCATCTATGAGCATACATTACTGCCCTGTCTTTCCAGATTCTTCAGGAGGAAGAATTTATCCAACCCTAATTTCCATCTTAATTCAAATCAATGGCCAATTTGTCTTAATTTCCCAATTTCTCTCCACACTCCCAACTCCACCACCATGCACTTTTTTTCAACCTAAAAGAACTTTGGTCTGTTTTTTTTCTTTTATTGACTGAGAACCACCTTTGCCTTCTTTCCCAGATGGCTAACCATCTCCCTATCCCCACATACCAAACCTGCCCCTACTGCTTTCATGGACCCAAGGGGTTATGAGACAGAATCTTTCTCCTTTGTACCACCTCAGTCCCATCAAGTTAAGATCTGCAAAGGACTAGTGCAGCTCTTGAGGCACCGTCCAGCCCTGACCTGCTCTTGCCAGCCTGGCAACTCTCCAGCACCCACACACTTAAAAGTTTCTAGCCAGGCTCCCACAAACATTACTGCATTTGCCCCATCAGTATGGGGCTGGGTCTTGATGAGCCAATTAGTTGAGCTTAACTTTCTTGGTTTACCCCCTTGCCCTCCAAGGTCCCTTCATTCAGAACCTGTGCACGAGCAGCTCCCCACCCGGTTCCCGTTCCTTCCTCCTCAGTTCTTCCCTGTAACAGCAGGAGCAGAAGTTGTTTGTCTCAGGGTGTCCATAGAAGCTGCAGTTCGGTTGTTTGCATTTGGTCTGGGTTGTGGGAAGCCCCCTGGGCCCTCCAGCCCATCCATCTGGCTCAGGGGGCTCTTGGTAGCCGTTGCTATAGGAATCAGCCACACGGAAGTGGGGTGGTAACAATGTACCCCTATGAACTCCATCCTGGGAGTGACTGCCTGGCTCCAGAGAAAGGCTGCTGTCCTGATGGGGGTAGGGTCGCCCAGGAGGGCACTGTCTAGGGAAGGTGGCATATGGTGGTAGGCCACCCCCACACGGACCCCCTGCCAACTGCCTCCGGGGTTCCTGGCAGTGAACTCCACCCCCAGAAGGCCGAGGGATTGTAAAGCCCCCAGGGTAGCCAGTAGAAAATGCCATGGCCTTGGACTCTGTTTGGGGGGCAGTCAGCAGCTCCTCCCCACCATCTGGCTCTGGCTTTTTGGCTGGAGGAGGCCCACTTCCTACCCCTCCATTCATGATCTTCCTCTCTGACTCCTTCTGCTTCTGCTCTGCCAGGAATCTCTCCTCAGCATCAGAAAGGTAGCGCTGGATCATCTCCTCCTGATACTGGTGACGGTGACCCATCTTCAGGGTTCCAACAAAAATAAACTTCCCCTCCCCTTGCATTGCAGTCCTCATGATGCTCAGGCTTTGCATCACCTCCTGGCTATACTTGCTCCCTCCATTACCCACAGACTCAGATGTAGGCTTCTCAGACACAGGCCCATCCCCAGCTGCCTCCTCTTTGCCACCCTTCCAGCTCTTCAGCGAGTTTTTCTTCTTCTTCTCCAGTGTCTCGGTGCCACTGCTCACTCCTGACCCTGTTCCCATCCCTCCAGGCTTAGAACCCTTGCTGTGCATCAAGCCTCCCATGTTCTTCTTGAGCTTGCTGCCCAAGGTTTTGCCAAAGCTGCCCAGTTTGTTAGCCACAGAATCTGCCCTCTTCTTGTCCTTCTCCCGATCTCGTTTTGATTTTTCTTTCCGCTTGCTGCCCTCGTTGCTGGTGGAACTGCTGCCAACTGACTCCTTGTCTGATTCGCCAGACTCAGGAGTGGACCGGGGCTCATCTCCTGCTGAGGCAGTGGGGGACTCAGGCTGGGCCAGGGGAGCCTGGAAGAGACAAAAACAGGATTGTCAGTTATCTCATTGGTCTGAGTTGGGGGAGGTCCCCAGGGATCCCTAGTTTATCCCTATGGCTCATGGGACTCCCAGTAGCCATTGCTATAAGAATTAGCCAAGTGAAAAAGGGTGGTAACACCCCTATGAACTGTCCTTAAGAGTGACTGCCTAGTTTTAGAGAAGAGCTGCTATCATGATGGGGAAGGGTCACCCAGGAAGGCATTGTCCTTCCCCAGCTCCAGTCACTCTCTCATAGACAAGGAATAGATGTATCTAATATCTAACTTTAATGTCACCACCTGCAATGACTTCCTTCTGTTATAATGAAGCCTGCAACTCTTTTAGAGCAATGAAGAACTACAGTACATGGCCTCTGGGTAAGGACAGAATATTCTATACACACTGGAGCATTCTTTATTTGATTCTAAATTTCTCTATGCTAAATTCTTCCCAAAATTAAACTCAAGAAATTCTTGTCTAACTGCAACCAACCGACCAACTACAACCATTCTGAAGCCCCTCAACTTTTACTCAACACTAGAGTCCATCAATTTGCCCTTGCTCCTGTGATCCTGTTCTATGGATACTGATGACATCCTCAGAACCTATTGGATCAGGAGCTCTTTAAGCTGTTCTGTCTCCTCTGGTGTCAACACAGAGGTCTATGTATAGACAGCTTAGGATAGAGCAATGGTCAGCAAACTGCGGCTCGAGAGCCACATGCAGCTCTTTGGTCCCTTGAGTGTGGCCACGAAGTTTCAATTGCACTGTACATGCATGTCCACACGTGTTATTTTGTGGAAGAGCCACACTCAAGGGGCCGCAGTTTGCCAACCACTGGGATAGAGTAGTGATAACCTCAAGTTCATCAAAAAGTCCAGAAAACTCTTCTTGAAGAATGTGTTTTAGTATCAAAAAGCAGAGCTTGGTTGGAGAGGAGATGTGGAAAATGGGAGGCACTAACAGGTAGAAAGACAGGAAAAAGTATCTTTGGGAACTTATTTGATATTTTCCAATTATTCCTAATTTGGAATCATAAGCCATCACTCAGAAGAGATTCAGAAAGAGAACATCACCAGATCTTGTTCTCCCTGTCACTGAAAATGAGGATCAACAAGGGTCGGGTGGAAATGTCCTCACCTGCGCATCAGAGGACACTGGGATCCACTTCACGTTCATGTAGCTATGCAGCAGATGCAATTTGACCTCCAGGGACAAGATGACACTGTGAAAAGGAGAAAAAGGAATTAGAAATGTCTGTAACCTATAAAATGCAAAGCAGTATGATAAGTTGGGAGGTAAAGTGGGTGAGGGACACATGGCTTGGGACTCAGGGTTGCGTTTGAATTATAGCTCCACCAATTACTAAGATTGATGACCTTGAACAAGTCACATCAACTTCTCTGAAACTCATATGGGGTCGATAATGGGTATAGATGATAATATATCCTGTAGGGTTGTTATGAAGGTTAAGATGACATTTAAAAGGACACACAGCACAGTGTCTAGAAAACAGGAAATTCTTACTAAACAGTAGCCATTGTTATCGTTGTTATAAATATTTAGAAGAAGATTTTGAAAGTTAGGTGAGAACTTGGTTAAAAAGCCACAAACGCTGGGTTTTTTAATCAAACCCTCTCGTTTGGGTCTCAGTTTTAGGAGCCCCAAGAAGGAAGGGCTGGGTAAGAGATAAGGGAGGAGCTTTTACATTCATACACTCTTCACAGGAAACTGTGGTGGGAAGCAGGAGGAAGGCTAACCAGCTTATGGGAGGCAGAGCAAGCAGTGGGGAAGAACATATTTTTCTTGCTGTTTAAATTCCAGAAAGGCCCTAACTGGTTTGGCTCAGCAGATAGAGCATCGGCCTGCGGACTCAAGGGTCCCAGGTTCAATTCCGGTCAAGGGCATGTACCTTGGTTGCGGGCACATCCCCAGTAGGGGGCGTGCAAGAGGCAGCTGATCGATGTTTCTCTCTCATTGATATTTCTAACTCTCTATCCCTCTCCCCTCTTCTCCGTAAAAAATCAATAAAAAAATATATTTAAATTCCAGAAAGGCAAAAATCCAGAGCAAATTATTTTAGTCACCGATTTAAAACCCCTCTCACTTGGTCTGGGAGAACTGTGAATTGTGTATCTTGATTTTCTGATCACTGCTTTGGGGATTCTGGGAGGTATTAGTGTAAAGAAAGAACAAGTCCAGGATTCCCATCTTTCACTGGGAGAAAAAGCAGTTCCACGTTGCAAAAGTCCTGGTGCTCAACCTGTCTTTCACCTGCCCATCCTCCCAAAAAATATGGGAACTAGGGTGTGACTTGCCTCTGAGCTGAGAAAAAGTCCCCAGGAGACAGATGCTATGTGGAAGAGCTCGCAGCTACAAAGCAGATGAAAATAATAGGCATGCCTCACCTGGCCAATCGGACATTGTCACTGTCATCTTTGCCCCACTCCCAGCTCTTTCCAGGGTCCACAGCAAAGTGCAAGGGCAGCAGCTTATGCTCTGAATCTGTAAGTGGGATCACAGCTGGAGGGGGAAAAACATGTCATCAAGGAGTCTCTCCAAGGAGAGAAGAAGGCAACTGAACACAGACTGACTGATACTACAGGAGATATGATAACTGTAGTCACTTCTCATTTCTTACATGTGAATTATCCTGGCATTTAAAACTAAAAGGCTGGCATTCCCTTAATACCCAGCACACAATTTAGGCCAATAATCCCCATGATTCCCCACCTGTCAGTCAACTAACATTCATGATGTTTTTGCTAGTTAATGTAGATTCATGAAATTGAGTCTCTCGGACAAATAAAACATCATTTGGAAGGTTTGATGGCCTTAATATATAAACCCTTTATTTCAGGGAGCAGGAAATAAAAAAACTGTGTTTTCCCCAAAACCTTTGTTGTTTAATTTTAAAACCTTGGTATATCTTACAGCTTGGTAGAATAGTCTCAACATGCACTCATTTCAGTTTTTCCAATGAAAATAAAGCAGATCAAAAGCACCAGAGACACAGACACTGCATTCAGCACCTTGTTCCTTGCCATTCTCCTTCTGCTCCATGGACACAAGTGCAGAAAAGTGGGCCTGATCGTAGGCGAGCACCAGAGGGGAGCGGTGACACTGGCTGGCGGGGACCTCCAAGGGCAGATAGATTCCCCCAAAGGGAATAGGGGCAAATGCTGTAGGAAACCACAAAGATTATTATTAAGGCTATGTTCTTGCCTAGTGGGAAATCCCTCTTCCTCACCCTGCCAATTGAGTCCCCCCTTTCATTCCAACCCCTGCTTAATAATTCTTTCCCAGGAAGCCTCATCAATTAATCCCAACTTGAATCTTTTGAGACCTTTGCATTGTTCTGATTTACACCTTGTTTCCCCCCCCAAAGGTCTATATATCCTCTTTCCCACACTCCTCCCAGTGCTTAGACCAGAGCTCTGCAAACAGTGGGTGCTCAGAGTGCAGTGAGGATTGACTGACTCACCTTCTCCCCCAGAGTCCCTCAGCATGGTGTCTGCCACGACGACTATGGGCCTCCTAAGCACATGGGCAAGGACAAAGACATGGAATTCTTCTAGACTCTCATATACAGGCTCCTCTGAACTCTCCACCCTAGAGTTGCAGAGGGGGAAAGAGTAGAAGGGGTTAAGTCAGCGGTTCTCAACCTGTGGGTCGCAACCCCTTTGGCGGTCGAACAACCCTTTCACAGGGGTCACCTAAGACCATTCTGCCTATCAGATATTTACATTACGATTCATAACAGTAGCAACATTACAGTTATGAAGTAGCAACAAAAATAATTTTATGGTTGGGTCACAACATGAGGAACTGTATTTAAAGGGCCAGAAGGTTGAGAACCACTGGGTTAAGTGGAAGGGAGAGGGAAGAAAACAAAAGAGACTCCTGAAGACCAGTTCTGCAAAAAGGAAAATGAGGAATGTCCTTTCCTGGTTTTCTAATCCTAAGACTGCCAGGGACACAGCTGATTATTTTATGCTACAATTGCTGTTTCTACTTCCATTTCACAGATGGGGAAATCCAAGAAAAGAGACTTGAAGGCTTTATGGTTGTATGGTTAAAGTAGTGTTAGGAATCTGAAGGCAATTCCTCTATTAATACTTGTCTTGTTCAACAACCTTCCTCAATTCTCTTTATAAAGCAGCTAAATACACAACTGAATAGCCTCATCCTGCTGACTCTACCCACCACAACCATCCACACATCACACTGTCCAACAAAAACAAAAACTCCTCCTAAATTCCCTTGCTTGGAGAATAGCCTCACTATATACCTAGTAGCCTAATCAGAAATCTGTAAAATATTTACTGTTCTTTATCTCTCACCTCCAATTAATCACCTGGCTTGGCCAATTCCATCTCTTAAGTATCTCTTGCATCTGTATCCTCTAGCTTATCTGCAACCTACTACTCTTTTTTTAAAAAATATGTTTTTATTGATTTTAAAGAAAGAGGTAGAAACATCCACGAGAAACATCAATCAGCTGCCTCCACAGGCATGTGCCCTGACCAGGAATCGAACCAGTGACCTTTTGGTGCATAGGATGACACTCAACCAACTGAGCCACACCAGCTGGGCTATAATCCACTACTCTTGTTCATACCCATGGCTCTCTTTCTTGGATTACTACAACTGCCTCTAGTCTCCCTCCCCTCTGCTTCATCATCCACTCTGCTGTCAGTGTGTTTAAATTCCAAATCTGCTCTTGTCACTCATTCACAACTCAATTCCTTTCCACCCCATAAAGCAATATTCAACACTGGGTGCTTGATACAAATGCAGATTTCTGGGCCTTACCTCAGTCCAACTCAAGGGTGGAGGTCCTGAAATCTGTATTTTATTTTTTTTAAATATATTTTTATTGATTTCAGAGAGGAAGGGAGAGGGAGAGAGATAGAAACATCAATGATGAGAGGGAATCATTGATTGGCTTCCTTCTGCACACCCCCCACTAGGGATGGAGCCTGAAATCCAGGCATGTGCCGTTGGCTAGAATCGAACCGAGACCCTTCAGTCCAAAGGCTGACGCTCTATCCACTGAGCCAAACCAGCTAGGGCTGAAATCTGCATTTTAAACAATCTTCTTAGATTATTTTTATGCACAATAAAGTTTGGATCAGTTATAATTTTTAACTTTTTATTATATAAAATTTCAAAATTTAAACATTCTAAACTAGAAAGAATACTATCCTCAACTCTCATATATCCATTGCCCAACCTCAACAACTATAAACACATCATCAATCTCACTACACCTACACCTTTATCTCTTTCCCTATTAGCCACCGCCCCCCACGCACCCCCGATTATTCTGAAGCAAATCCTAGACATACATTTCATCCGTTAAGCATTAGTTTCTATCTCTAAAAAATAACTTTTAAAAATACCCACAATACCATTAATATCACACTTTGAAAAGTTAATAATAAACATGTAGACATTGTTCACATTTTTTACTCAATTGTTTTATATATGTCCATACATTCCAATTGGTTGATATGTCTCTTCAGTGTCTTTAAACTTATGTTCCCTCTCTCTTATTTTCCTTGCAATTTATTTATTGAGGAAATTGGGTCATTTGTCCTGTAGTTTCTGAAAGTCTAGATAGGACACAATTTTAATTCCTTAGCATGGTATAAGAGAAACCTGAGCATGGCACACATACTATGGGGACCTAGCCTCACCTATCATTCTGCACCACATACTCTGTATTCTAGCAATACCGAACTACCAAAGTTCCTAGGACATACCACACTGTTGTACAATCCTGCCATGGCTCCTCTCTTTTCTCCTAATATCCTCTTAGCACAGAGCTCTTCGGACTCTGAGGACTCAGTTAGGATTACTTCCTGTGCCCCCATACTTACCCACTACAGTTGGCTCCATTTGTACCTAGATGCATCCGGGGTTCACTTGAGGCAAGCTTGATCAGCTCATTCCATTCCTTCTGCCATTCATCCTCTGTGTATACCAGCCCTGACTGTGAAAGACAGGCAGGGGATGTCAAGCAATTAGAGGCTAGGTTCAAGAGGCAATATTCTCCTAGCACTTGGCTTATAATTTGTACTATAAAGTCAAATCTATTCTCCCTTTTAAAACCAATATCCACGAAAGAATAGGCTATGATCTCTCTCACATTTCTTTTTCTTCCATTCTTCTCAACCCATTGCAATCTAGCTTCCGTTTCTGCCCTCCAGTTATGCCCTTCACCCCCACATACCACTTCACCTAACCAACACTGGGCAAAGGACAGTAACCTCCTAATTGCCAAATTCAGTGGACTCACTGGTTCTCATCTTTCTTAGCTTTTGTGTAGCATTTGATATCCTCTTTAAACTCCCTTCTCCTTTAGCTTCCACAACATTACTTTCTCCTACCTCTGTGAACTCTGCTACCCCAGAAATACTGTTGTATATATTAATGATTTTAGCCTTGGTTACTTCTAGGTGAAGTAACAGTCTATTGTATTTGGCTTACATTAGTATTAAAATGTTTAAGCTCAAACTGACAGTAAAAAGAATCACAATGGAGCCTGACTGGTGTGGCGCAGTGGTTGGGCTGGGTCAACCTATGAACCAGGAAGTCACAGTTCAATTCTTGGTCAGGGCACATGCCCGGGTTGTGGGCTTAGTCCCCAGTAGGGGTGTGCAGGAGGCAGCCAATCAGTGATTCCCATCATTGATGTTTCTATCTCTTTCCCTCTCCCTTCCTCTCTAAAATTAATAAAAATATATTTAAATAAAAAAAGAAACATAAGGGGCACCAGGAACAAATTTAACAGGAATTAAAGAGCCATTGTGAGCACATTCTACTTTAATTTTAAAAATGACAAAGCTATTTTCAGTTTATAAAGTGCTATAAGAAATGTTTCCAATAAAAATAAGAACAATACACAGGTTATATATGGGGCGCTGTGGTCACTCTGATATATGGTCAGGAGGATCTGTCTCCCTTCTTTCACCAATTTCTCCTTGCTGTTCTTATACACACGGCCTCTAGGTGGCGTACCCTTCTAGCCTGAAAATGTTCTTACTGGGTTTTACCACCAAATTCAACACAAAAGGAGGTCTGGGAAATCAAAACCATTTTAGTTCGTTTTGTGTTTGGTACTGGTTAATAGAAGCTCCCAGTCCACCACCACTCTCCCCCAATTCCCACTCCCAAAGGTCTGAGTGATCTGAGCTAAAACAATTACGTAGGCCGTATTTCTAATATGGAACTTTCAATGTGCCCAGCAAAAGGAGTAAAAAGATTGCTCCTTTGATGGCTACTATTCTCTATGCATGTATTTTCACTGGCGACTTTGAGAGGGAATGGGTATTGCTGCGTCTCCTCAGTAAATACCATCATAATCTAACCCCGCCTTTAAAATAATAACTATAGCCTGGCTGGGTAGCTGGATTGGTTAGAGCATCGCCTGGATATACCAAGGCTGTGGGTTTGATCCCTAGTCAAGGCACATACAAGAATCAATTAATGAATGCATAAATAAGTGGAACAACAAATCAATGTTTTCTCTCTCTAAAAAAAGTTATTTTTTTAAAAAAATCAATAAATAAAATAACAGTTATAGCTTAAAAGCTGGAATTGGACACACCTATTCTCTGACTATTGCTGTCACTTCTACTTAATAACCAGCATACTCTGGTTTGGCCTTATTTCTGGAGTGGTCAAATCTAAGGTTCAGGTTCAGGTATGGTGCAAAGGCGGCAAACTCTGGACTGGCTCTAGTTCAGGCAACAGAAGGTCTCCACAAGGTCCAGTTCAACTCACCAGGGAGCCATGGGGCTTGGTGGTATAAAGAACTTGTCATGTACTTTGCCTTGCCCTGTGCATTTATTTCCCTCAGGAATCTTCTGGGGCAGATTGTTGATCAAAGATAGGATTGTGATCTTAACATCATCCTAAGTTTAACAATGGGTTCTTTGTTTTTGAGAAGGAAACAGAACACATTCTACTTATGTATTTTAAATCTTCAGGACATAAAATTCTAATGACTAAAACAAAACAAAAAATCTCTTGGTTCTGTATATGGCCAGTTATGATTGAACAATAAAAGAAGAAAAGAAAAGAAGATGAAAAGTTTCTGAAGAGATATTCCTACATTAATTCCAGAAACACCCAGCCATATACATGGCAAAAATTAGATATACCCCAAAGAGCAGGAGATAAACATAGAAGGCAGAACCAGGGGAAAAGGAAATCTATTGTCTTTATATAAATGTTAATGTCAGTATTAAAGTTAAGGGGAAGGGTGGGTAAGCTTTTTCCATAAAGAGCCAGATAGTAAATCTTTTAGTCCTTGTGGTCCATACCCAACTACTCTATTCTGCTGCTATAGCAGGAAAGCACTTACATAAATATACACATGTAAATTAATGGGTGGGGCTGTATTCCAATAAAACTTTTTTTTTTTTAATCAGTTGGTGGTATTTAGCTCACAGGCCATAGTTTGCCCAACCTCTGTTATGGAGATGGAAAGCACAAAAAGTCCATTATTCCTTTCTTATATAAAAGCAGCACTTGCTAAACCCCTGAGAAGTACCACTCAAACTCAATTTAACAGGTATGCTTTAAAATTTTTTAAACACACTAAGTATTTGAAAAAATAAATGGTATACATGGCCAAAAATATTTTTAAGCATTTATATTTCTACACGGATTGAAAACACAAGTCCTTAAAAATTGGTCTGGTCACGTTATAAACAATACTAGTAAAATCGAAACAATACAAAAATCCTATGGACTTGTCATTTTGCAAAAGATTGCCACTGAAGACTTATAAGCACCTGTCAGGTGAAAAGCAGAGTTAGATACCTCCTCTGTAAAGTCTCAGCTTCCCCATACTAGTACTTATGACACCCTATGGTGTTATCTGCATTTTCTACAAATACAGGAGCACCTAAGCACCAGGAGACACTTCCTACTGGTAGGCACTGGGCATTTCCCCTATGTAACCTTGGGAAACAAGGTGTTCCCACCCCAGCTCTCTCACCTCTTTATTCTGCTGTGTTTGCTGCCACCTCCAGCGTCGTTTCAATGCTTCCTTCTCAGCTCCCTTTTCCATCAGTGCATACAAAGCTTTCCGCAGCATCAAGTCCCGATCGTGGAAACCCCACATCCCTGTTGCAAGAAAACATAACAGTAAGACACCTTACAGTGATTCAACTCCGCTTATTAATTATGATACACAGACACTGGCATGAAGGAAATGAGGCTGAAGTCCAAGTTCAATGAAACCCTTCTGGGATTTAGGGGAAAGGCACTTAATCAAGAAAGAAAAGATGTTCCTATTCTATATTTTTGAGGACGTGAAAGTGAGGTATATACCACACCCTACAAACTCTTGACAGAAAGAACTTACTCCTGATGCAAGCCTAATAAACAGGTGGCAACAGAGAAAACTGGCACATGACAATCAGCATCAAAGCTTGAGGGATGGTTGGAAAATGGGGACTTTTTTAAAAAAGCTAAGGCAGATAATATATTGGATTATAAATAGCCTGTATAATTTAAAGTTGATGAAAACATTTTTTATTTACCAAAGAATAAATATTAAGTAGAATTATATACACACACATAGAGCTATATATTGCTTGCTTCTGCTGCTCATTACTTCTGAGGGTCAACTTCTTGTGGGACACACCCACACCCACACACCCTTGCTCTGAACCATCACTTCTGTCTATGATCACCATTGGTTGAAGCAAGTCCTACACATAACATTTAACTCTACTGATTCCTTCTACGGGGGAACAGAGGGCCACTTTCAAGACTCACCAAGAGAGGCTGCATGTAGAAGGCAGTTTCCATCTCCAGTAGTTGCCAAAGGAAGCAGCCTCTGACAGGTGGGGTCTACACTCACCCACCAGTTCAAACGCCCTAAAGAAAAAGGAAGAAAAGAAGAGCAAATTACCCATAAAGCCCTCCCCACTTCCCAATTTTTAAGACTCCAAATTTGGTTCCTGTAGGAAACCTACCAGATAAAATCATCATGCTATTAAAGATATCTTCTTCACTTACATTTAGTTGATCAGAACCTAGTGAGCACAACTGGTTATATCAGTGGTTCTTTTTTTTTTTTTTTAAATCCTCACACAAGAATATATTTTTATTGATTTTGAGAGAGAGGAAGGGGGAGAGAGAGAGAAACATCGATGTGAAAGAGAAGCACTGATCAGTTGCCTCCTATGTGCGCTCTGACCAGGAATCAAACCTGCAAACTAGGAATATGCTCTGACTGGAAATTGAACTTTCAACTTTTTGGTATATGGGATGATGCTCCAACCATGGCAATCAATGATTCTTAAGTGGGGACAATTTTGTCCCTCAGGAGACATAGAAAATGCCTGGAAATATGTCTGTCTGTCACAAATAGTAGGAAAATCCTACTGGCATCTAGTGGGTAGAGGCCAGGGAGACTGCTAAACACAACATAATGTGCAAGGCAGCTCATACAAGAAAAATTTTATGGTCCTAAATGTCAACAGTGCTAAGATGGGTTAGATGATGAGGTCAAGGTCATACATTGAAATCTGTACTGGCTACTTGGTCTGATTCCTTCATTCCAGTCAGGAGATTAGTAAATATTATAGCAACAGAGCTCAGCACAAATCCACCATCAGTAAAAGAAAAACAACCCCCAAGCATGTGTTCAAAGTGTCATACAAGTATCATGTGCATATATGACAGCATGTATATGGTGTTACTCTAAAGACATGAACAGTAAGACAAAGTACATAAAACATCCAAGATGATGATTCTCAGTTCTATAGAGTCACCCCACAATTGCCAATCCATTTTTTATGAGTAAACTATTTTATGAATGATGCTTAAAAGTTCTTTTGAGCCCTGGCTGGTGTAGCTCAGTTAGTTGGAGCGTCACCCATACACCAAAAGGTCGAGGTTCAATTCCTGGTTAGGACACATACCCAGGTTTCGGGTTCGATCCCTGGTTGGGGCACATGTGGGGTGGGCAACCAACTGATGTTTCTCTTTCTCTCTCTCTCCTTCCTTCCTCTTTTTCTAAAATCAATAAAAGCATGTCCTCAGATAAGGAATTTTTTAAAAATATTTTTTAAGCTTTCTTGAATTAAAGAGTCTACAGAAAGAAAAACCGGCCTATAATCTTAACTTTAAAAATCTATAATAATAAAAGCATAATATGCTAATTAGACCGGACAGCCAGATGACCTTCCAGACAAAGCCGGATCTGCAAGGGCCAAGCCCCTTGCACGAATTTCATGCATCAGGCCTCTAGTATATATGTGTATATATAAATCAATTCACATGGTTAGTATAGAAGGGTACAAAATGAAAAAGAAAAACTTCTTTTCCATGCCCCTATCCCTCACCCCCCCAGTCCTTCCATGGGAGCTTTTTTAATACCTGAGTAGCTTTCCCAGAACTCCCAGATATGCAACCCCATCATATTAACTAATTTTAACAGTAATTTAAGACAAACACCATTGTAAAGGTAAACAAATCATTTGGGAAAAGTTTATATAAATAAATGTGGCTTTCAGATTTATCACCACTGTACACTGTCTACAGCACTGGTCCTTTCCGTTCACTAGGTGTTTCAGAGCCAATTATAATTCATTTGTATTTTTTTCATGGACTGATTTTTAGGTATTGATTCCTAGGCCTTTTAGAGAAAAGTGTCTAATTTGTGTCCTTACTTTAACCTGAAGAAACACCTAACTTAATACAAGTTTATCTGACTAACTGCTGACTTTGACTGTAATCAGATCATATACTTAGACTGGAAGGTACTGGTCAAGCCCTGCCCCACCCAGTGGCTGCCTATAGGTAGAGAGCAGAAGGAAGAGCATGGAAAAGGAAGCACTCACTGACCTGCCTGTTCCAAGGCAACCAGCATGGACTGTTCAATGAGGTCTCTCTCTATGAAGCTGCGGAAGTCTTCATTGTACACAGTGAGATCTGGAAGCTGGAAGGCACAGATGGGCATTTCCAGGGGGTGCTCACTGCTCCCCCCACCCCCACCATTGGAGACATGGGACCGGGCCAGGGAAACAATGCTGGAGCTGGCGTGGGAGATGCCCCTAGACAGGCGTTTTTCTGCAATGAGAAATGGAGTCACCTTAGAATATACACAGCTCACTCAGAGAACTTTCCACTCTGGGAAAAACTGTGAGTTTCAATGGTTACCAAATACCACAACTCTCTTCTCAAGCCAAATACAATTGGAGAAATACAGAAAGTGGTATTGTTGTGTACGCATATTAGCACCAAATATACATTCCTCTTGTACCCTTTTGGGAATTTGCCTGACCTTCCTCTCCCCATGACTGTCTTTTTCCACTTTCATTTCCCAACATTCATTTGTTCTGTGGGAGAAAGAGGGAAAAAGGAAAATGGGGTTGCATTTGGTTAGACTGACTCAAATAATCTCTCGGATCCTTTTTAGGGTCTTTGAGAATATAGAAAATTATGAAAAATCTTACATATTCAGGAAGTTCCTTACCTATCATTAATGACATTTATTTACATTTACTATAACTTTTCTTGATATTCAAACTTATCAGAAATGTATAGGTACAGTCGATTCTGACTTGACATGCTACAGAGGAAGACAGTGCCTCAAATTATTTCATTTATTTTGAATACACGGCACTTAAAATTCCCCAGCAGATATCCCATTGTGATCATAATTTGGTCAGTGTAGTATTACAATTTATTTGCATGGCTCAAGTTATATAAAGATTATCAAAAGAACTAAAAATGTGTTGGGTAGCAATTCTTAACCCATATTTGCCAGAGATAATGTACAAAGTAAGTCAAGACTTATCTAAAAATTACTTTATAGTGACTTATTTTTTAAACTCTTTTTTTTAGGTACTTAAAAAGTACAACAGCCCCATGATAAAAAATAAAAATACCATCAAAAGGTACAAAGTGTTACAAAGAAATCTTCCTCTCTTTAAAATTAGTGATCCCTTTCCCCAGAGGCAACCTTTCATACAGCCTTCTAGGATTTTGTATGCACACATGTATCTTCTAAAATCATTTAAAAAACCTACACAGGAGCATACTATATACTGCATCTTACCTTTCTCAATAGACATTAGAGATTTTTTCCAAAGCAGCACATCAAGTTCCACCTGATTCTTTCTAACAGCTGCACAATAGTCCATAATATGGATGATTACAATTTATTTAACCACCCCTCTATTAATGGATATTAAAAGTTGTTTTCAAGCTTTAACTTTCAAGCTTTACACTAAACTAGACATCCGGTGCACAAAATGCGTGCACTCGGGGCAGGGGGTGTGGGAGGGAAGGGAGTTCCTCAACCCAGATTGCGAGAGGGTGCAGGCCAGGCCGAGGGACCCCACCAGTGCCTGATTGGGGCCAGGGAGGAATGTGGAAGGTTGGCCAACTGAGGAGGGCTCCAGGGCGTGTCCGGCCCATCTCCCACAGTCCCGATTGGCCAGACCCCAGCAGCAGGCTAACCTACCAGTTGGAGCGTCTGCCCCCTGGTGGCACATCATAGCGACTGGTCCACCAGTCGACTGTCTGCCCCCTGGTGGTCAGTGCAAGTCATAGCGAGCAGTTGAGCAACCTTATCATATCATTAGCATATTATGCTTGATTGGTTGAATAGCCAACTGGATGACTGGACACTTAGCATATTAGGCTTTTATTATATAGGACTAGAGGCCCGGTGCACAAAAATTTGTGCACTCAGGGGAAGGGGGGGGTCCCTAAGCCCGGCCTGTGCCCTCTCGCAGTCTGGGACCCCTCAGGAGATAATGACCTGCTGGCTTAGGCCTGCTCCCAGGTGGCAGAGGGCAGGTCCAATCCCTAGGTGCAGCCCCTGGTCAGGCTCAGAGCAGGGCCGATTGGGGAGTTGGGGCGCCTTCCCCTGTCATGCACAGAGCAGGGCAGATTGGGAGGTTGCGATGCCACCCTCAGTCACGCTCAGGGTAGGGCCAATTGGGGGGTTGGGGCACCGCCGCCTGTCACACTCAAGGCAGGGTCGATGGGGAGGTTGCGGCGCCACCCCCTGTCATGCACAGAGCAGGGCCGATCAGGGGGTTGAGGAGCTCTCCCCTGTCACTCACTGAGTAGGGCCGATAGGGGAGTTGGGGCACCGCCCCCTGTCACACTCAGGGCAGGGCGGATCAGGGGGTTGGGGCACCGCCCTCTATCACCCACAGAGCAGGGCCGATCAGGGGGTTGGGGCGCCGCCACTGTCACACTCAGGGCAGGGCAGATGGGGAGGTTATGACTCTACCCCATCACACACAGAGCAGGGCCCGTGGAGGGGGGGGGTTTGGGGCGCCACCCTCTATCACCCACAGAGCAGGGCCGATCAGGTGGTTGGGGCGCCGCCACTCTCATACTCAGGGCAGGGCCAATGGGGAGGTTATGGCTCTACCCCATCACACACAGAGCTGGTCCCGTGGGGGGCGGGGGGGTTGGGGCCCCGCCCCCTGTCACACACAGAGCTGCAGGGCGATCAGGGGGTTTGGGCGCTGCTCCCTGTCACGCTGATCCTGGTGCCGGGAGGCCTTGTGGCTCCGCTGATCCCGGTGCTGGGAGGCATATTACCCTTTTACTATATAGAATAGAGGCCTGGTGCATGAGTGGGGCTGGCTGGTTTGCCCTGAAGGGTGTCCTGGATCAGGGTGGGGGTCCCCACTGGGGTGCCTGGCCAGTCTGGCTGAGGGGATGATGGCTGTTTGCAGCTGGTCACACACCCTTCAGGGTGGGGGTCCCCACTGGGGTGCCTGGCCAGTCTGGGTGAGAGGCTGAGGGCTGTTTTCAGGCTGGGACTGAAGCTCCCAACCACTCCTTTTTTTCTTTTTTTCTTTTTTTATTCTGGGCCAGCTTTAGCTCTGAGGCCTCTGCTTCTGAAAACAGGTTTCTGGCCTTTGTTTACCGTCTGTATTTGATACAATGTTGCGGTCCAGCTGGCTGAAGCCTGGCTGAGTAAAGCAGGTTTCTGGGGTTTTTTTAGCTTCTATATTCGCAACATAGTTGCTTAGAGTTGCAGCTGAGAGGCCAGCAAGTCAGGCGGGGAACGTTGGAGTTCTCCGTCACTGAAGCAAGCAAGCCTCCCTGTTCGCATCAGCTGCCTGGCTGCCGGCCGCCATCTTGGCTGCCAGTTAATTTGCATATCTCGGCCCTACTCTGTGAGTGACAGGGGGATTAGCCAATGGGAAGGGTAGCAGTCATACACCAATTACCATGTTTCTCTTTTATTAGTGTAGATATGTGTAGGTGTCTATTTGTGTATGTATTTATTTATTTAAAGAAGACACATATCTACATATATACACACAGAGACGTGTATATAAACATCTATATATATAAAAGCCTAAGCAACCATTAGGACCAAATGACAGGAACGACTAGACAACCGGCCAATAGCTATGACGCGCAATGACCCAGACCTTGCTGCTGGGGCCCTGACAGCCCCGAATCTGGTTCACCAGCACCCTAGACCCAGACAGGAGGGAGGAGGGAACCCGATTCCTTATGGAATCGGCCGTTGATTAGCTGCTGCTGGGGCCAACCTCCTGTGGCCCCTCCCTACAGAAGCTGGCCTCCCCCGATTGGCCCCGATGGCAGGCCAGGCCAAGGGACCCCACCCATGCACGAATTCATGCACCAGGCCTCTTGTCTATATAATAAAAATGACCATTACGGTGGAACGACCAGAACGACCGGTCGCTATGACACCCACTGACTAACGGGGCAGATGCTCAATGCAGGAGCTGCCCCCTGATGGTCAGTGCGCTCCCACAGCTGGGGCGCTGCTGAGCCAGAAGCTGGGCTCACAGCTGGTGAGTGCAGCAGCAATGGCAGGAGCCTCTCCTGCCTCTGCGGCAGCACTAAGAAGCGGCAAGCCAAGCGGTAAGGAGCAAGCAGGCAGGTGGTTAGGAGCAAGGGTCCTGGATTGTGAGAGGGCGCAGGCCGGGCTGAGGGACTTCCCCCACCCCCACACAAATTTTGTGCATTGGGGCTCTAGTATATGATAAATTCATAGAAATGAAATTGCTCAGTCAGCATGTATATGCATTTTTAAATTTTGGTAGATACTGACAATATTAACAGAATGGCCTCCAAAGAAGTATCTGGTAGTGACCCACTGAATTCTATTTTTATGTAAACCTTATCTCAACAATTAGATTGTATCCTCCTTCCTCTATTTTTTCACAGTATCTAAAGAAAACCTTTATACAGGATAACAGTCAAGATGCAGGGTGGCAGTAAGGAGCTCCAGCACCTGGACAGATTGAGGCCACCTCTGACCAGTTTGGCTGGGGACAAGGGGGAGGAATGGAAACATCCCCAAAGGATCACTGAACTCTGACTCCATTTGGCAGTCCCCCCCCTTCCTTTCCACTCAGTATGAAATATTCCTCAGTTACTCCATTACCTTGAACGATGTCATCCTGCCGCTGTAGAGTAGGTCGGGGAGGGCGAGTACACTCTCTATCAGAAAACCCTTTCTCAGGGTTCCTGGAGGCACCGCTCCCTTCACTAAAGGATTGGGGCAGGATCCCAGCATGGACCTGACGTAACTGTTCAAAATCACTGAGGGCGGCACTTACATCCCAATTCTTTCCTGTCAGGACAAAAAGCAAAAAATGAATTGGGCACGTAAAGTATAGGAAAATTGAGGAAAGACACTAAGTGATCACTCTTATCATCCTATCAAAACTAGCAAGCATATACTCATGCACACTTCAATCATTCTCCTTTCCTTACCCTGCTTTAATTTTCTTCATAACACTTCTATCTGAAATATCACAATTTATTTACTTATTGTCTATTTCCTAACTAAGCTCCATGAGCACAGAAATTCTCTCTCTGTACCGAAAGGGCCCTTAGAGACCCAGTAACCTCATTTTACATATAAAGGATATGACACCTAAAAAAATAGAGTGATTTAGCCAAAGTCACAGCTAGTTTGCACTTGGGCCTAGCAGGAAGCGAGTCCAGGTCTCCTAATTCTGTGATCCAGAGAGTTCTTAACCCAGATGTCCTTTAGGGTGTCCTAAGCTGTATGAAATTGTACACCAAGTTATAGGTATGTGCATTTTTCTAAAGAAAGAGCTACTGGCTGTTACCAGATTATCAAAGGGAATTAACCCACCCAAATTTAAGAATCACTGCTCTACTGAAGACCCTAGAAAACAGATTTGTCATCATGAATTTTTCTGTTGCTTTCTCCAGTTAAATTATTCAGTAAATAGCATACTGCATAATTGTTCACACTTCCTTCTGTTCTATTCCATCTGCTACCACCTTCATTCAGTTCCTATCACCTAGTGTCCCACCTCCAATCCACACTAAAGAATTTCATGAGATTATTCTTTCTAAAGTACAGTTCTAATCACTTCAATTTCATAATCAAAATCTTTTATCATTGTCTATGGAATAAGCCTAGGATCTTTTGTGTGACATTCAAGGCTTTCTATGACCTGGTCTATTTTTCTAGCCTTTTTTCTGTACTTCAATTTTCCTGGCTATGAAAGTGGAGATTATATCATATTGGGTTGTTATGAAGATTAAGTTAATCGAAAGCACTTAAAACAGTGCTTGATATACAGAAAGCATTATATATGCATTTAATGCTGTACTATTATATTTCTTGTTTTATTACAAGTATCCAGTTAAGCCATACTTATCATCTGCATCTGCTGAATTATTTCTGTACCATGATATTCACTATTTGGTCCAACTAGCTCTGCTCACTCTGCTTCAGTCTTACTGGCCTTTCCGCCATTCCTAGAACATGCTACAGACTGCTCCCACCTAGGGCCTTTCCACCATTTCCACTGCTCTTTCCCCAATATATTCTACACAGACATCTCCTCAGGTATTTGCCCAAATTTCACATTCTTTTTTTTTTTTTAATATATTTTATTGATTTTTTACAGAGAGGAAGGGAGAGAGATAGAGAGTTAGAAACATCGATGAGAGAGAAACATCGATCAGCTGCCTCCTGCACATCTCCTACTGGGGATATGCCCGCAACCCAGGTACATGCCCTTGACCGGAATCGAACCTGGGACCTTTCAGTTCACAGGCCGACGCTCTATCCACTGAGCCAAACCGGTTTCGGCCCAAATTTCACATTCTTAATAAGGCCTACCCTGACTATCCAATTAAAAATCACAACCTCATCATTCTTCTGTTTTCTATTAACACCTTATAAAAAACTTTAAAATTTACTTGGTTATGTTTATTGGTTATCTTTCCCACTGTTAAGGGCACACAGCAGGTACTCAATATTTTTTGGAAAATGAAGGACTTTTGTCCTAATGAATGACATCTGTCTTGAGCACCACACCCTAAATTTCCAACGGTCTGCTAAACTCCTTAAAATCAGGTCCTCCTAAACAATCAACATGTCCAAACTGAATGTTTATCATCTTCCCTCCCAAAAACCTCTATATTCCCTATATTAGTAATGGCATCACAATCCCTCCAGGCCAGAAACTTCAGTCACCTTCAGCTCGTCATTACTCCTCACATCCCATTCCTCCTCTTCCATCACTAGTCAATCCGCATGGTTTTTTGTACCCCCAAAACATCTCTCAATTCCATCCTTTCTTGCTCATTTTTATTGTCACTGTCCTAATTCAAGTCCTCATAACCTTCACCTGGTCTTTGCATGCACAGAGACGAATACATAGCTTTTAAAATCATTGTGGGAGGGGCTCTTTAGTCTCTACTCCTAATCTCTCCCCTCTCTAATTCATTCTTTATATTACAATCTGAGTTAACTTTTTAAAAAATATTTATCTTTTTCTTGATTTCAGAGAGGAAAGGAGAGGGAAAGAGAGATAGAAACATCAATGATAAAAGAGAATCACTGATCGGCTGCCTCCTGCACGCCCATCACTGGGGATCAAGCCCGCAAGCCAGGTATGTGCCCTTGACCAGAATTAAACCCAGGACCCTTCAGTCTGCAGGCCGACGCTCTATCCACTGAGCCAAACCAGCTAGGGCCTGAGTTAACTTTTAAAGAAAAAAGTACGAGACAGAAAGAAAGATAGAGACAGAGAGAAAATGACATCAGGTCCTTTGATTCCCCTTCTAAATTGTATCTTAAATCCATCCACTTCTCACTCTACTGCTACCACTCTAGTTCAAGTCATCATCATCTCTCACCTTAACTATGGAAATATTCTTAACTGATTTTACCACTTCTTCTCTGGCCACCTTCCAATCCGTTCTATATCCTTTAATCAGTACATTGTTAAAAACTCAAATCCAATCATGTCACTCCCGTTTTAAAATCCTTCACCAGCTTCCCACTGAAAAAAGAGTGAAATTTAAACTCTTTACCTACAAAGGCCCCCCACTTTCTATTTCCTGCCTATCTTGCTCCAGTCTTCCTACCTCACTCAATATTAGTTTTTCCAATGTGCCAAACTCTATTTCACCTTAGGATCCTTGTATAATCTATTTCTTCTGCATAAGACTCTCAGCTACATTTCTTTTGTCTTGCTACTCCTACACATCCTTCTGGGTTCAGCTCAAATGTCACTTCCTCAGGAAGGCCTTTCTGCATTCTTTAATTTTGGTTTCTTACACTTCCATAGCATTTCTTACATTTCATAGCATGAGTGTATGTGCACATGGGTATGGATGTGTGTATTTGTGTGTGTGTGTGTGTGTGTGTGTGTGTGTGTGTGTGTGTGTGAGAGAGAGAGAGAGAGAGAGAGAGAGAGAGAGAGAGAGAACATGCAAGCATTAATTTGTAATATAATTGTTAAGAACAAGACTCTGAAACCAGATTGCCTAGGTTTAAGTCCTACTTAACCTCTCTGAACCTCAGTTTTAAAATTATAATACTGGGAATTTAAATCCTGATCTTCTACTTCCAAACTAAGGCTCTACTCACAGGCAGCTAAGCAAATATCAAACTGTCACACCTTTCTAAGGGCTGACAATTTAAAAAATTACCCTTGTAAACTAAGAACTTGCCCGTTCCACCAAAGGCTTATCTATTTGCATCACCATATATTGTCATCATCAAAAAAGCATCTGTTAATAATGATTCCAAACAAAGAATCCCACAAGGCATGATTCCAAGCCTTAATGACCTTAATAAAATATATTCATACTTATATGTATATACAGATGAAGGAAATAAAAACAGCAAAATGAGAATATTAAATTAATTCACTCTACATAGAATTACCCATATAAAATTGGAAAGGACAGAAACAAAACCATGGATGATACCAAATATGCAAACCCATGTGATTTATATGTAAAGAAGTCTGAAAGATCTAGAGTTATTCTTTTAGTGAACTAATATAAAATTTTACTTGTATTACCTGAACATAAATTGGCAGTGGCGAAAGGTACCCTAAAAAAACTCAAGGTGAAAGGAGGAGCTTGCATTTTAAAATATGGTGGGTTATACACAGAGTAGATTATTAGAAGTAACTTAAATGTAAAGTCTACCATACATAAAATGTCCTCCCAATCACCTTAAATGTTTCAAATCATCCTGGTAAGTGTCACATTTTACTTTCTTCTCATTCTCCCCCAATGACCTCTTACCTTCCAGGAGATCTCGGGCCAGCCCTGGCTCGGCTCCTGTGGAACGAACAAAATCTGACAGGACAGCATCCATGTCCAGGGTCATGTGATCATTAAGTACTTTCAGGCAATGGATGTAGGGAGGTCATAGATCAAAATTCAAGCCTCCACCTGAGGAAGAAATAAACACTTAAGGCTCAAATTACACTGGAATGGGATGAGCATAACCCAATTTCAGCAGATTCCTAACCAAATGGGAAAATGAACTATCCTAGCTTATTTATTTCAATTGAATTTATTATGAAGAGTAACACTCAGTTTTCTAATTCCTTATTAATATTAATTTCTCAACTACTACATTAACCACAAAACCATAATACCACTCCAAATAATGCTTTCCCCCCACTTTCTAGAGCAGGGGTCCTCAAACTTTTTAAACAGGGGGCCAGTTCACTGTCCCTCAGACCGTTGGATGGCCGGACTATAGTTTAAAAAAAAAACTATGAAAATTCCTATGCACACTGCACATATCTTATTTTGAAGTAAAAAAACAAAACAGGAACAAATACAATATTTGTATTTGCATGTGGCCTGCGGGCCGTAGTTTGAGGACCCCTGCTCTAGAGTATTACATTTCTACCCATCAGTTTGCTTATCCAAGGGAGCAGCAGGCTACCACCCTAAAGAACTTCCCATCTGCATTATTCTCTAACATAGCACCTTGTTTATTTCCTTCCTGGCACTTGATATACTCTGAAATAATTTTAATTAGTTGCTATCTAGCCTTCTCCTCTACTATGTAAGTTTCTTAAAAGCAAGGAGCTTGTGTGTGCTGTTGACTGTGTCCCCAGCATGTATCACCTGGCACTTGGCACAGTGCTTGGCATACATGCCCTCAGTAAATATTTGCTGAATGAATGAATGAATGAATGAATGAATACTATACACTAAATAACTTTACAGTTGACCACTCTTCTAATGCCAGCCGAGGAAATGGGAGAAACAAACTGATAGCTAGAACAACTCAAAATAAAACCATATGTTATTACACAGAGTGGAGAT